GACTCCAATTTGTTTTAAAGACAGGGAGAGAAGCATTTCAAATAAAAAAGGCAAAATGACAGACCAGATTACATCGCATTGTCACCACATTACATCGAGACAACAGCAATTTGATCTGGTGAGTACACCAATTTACAACTCTGACAAACTGCTGACCTCAAATTTACAATAACACGAAAGGAGGCAGCTCTCCCGCACACCCACGTAGGCAGATGAAGGCTGTAAGTGTGAATGGAGGAAGGAGAAGGGAATTAACAAGCCGACAAGGCGGTTCTGCAGCACAGAGAAGGGCTCTGGTGTCAGTCCAACGGTGGCAGCGGAGCAAAGCTCAGAGGGCCGGGCTTTAGTTAATAAACACAGATCCAGTCGGGCTCTTTCACAGGAAAAACACAATCCCCTTTAAGCTACTCATTACATTACAAGGGAATATTTCATACGAGGTGTCGATAGCTGCCTTCTCAGTCTGTGAGATCTTAAAAATGTGCACAGTGTTTCTTTGGGAGCCCAAGTTTCCTCTGCCAGTTTCAGAAGGCAAGGATATTGAGAAACCGGTACTTATACTACCATATTCTTGGATGGAAGCACGTACTTTTTGTACTTTCCCACTCAGAGGCGCACACTGAGAGGGCAAAAATAGCTTCAGCTTGGGGGTGGACATAGTATCGACTCAGGAATGACGGTGACTCCCATTTCTGAATTTTTGAATGCCACGGCATGCTTGTGTAGATGTTTGTGCACAGTTCGGTCCTTCTTTTTGCTGCACCATTGAGTTAAATATGCTTCAGGTTTTGCCATTAGTAAAAGTAAACACAACATCACAGCGATAAGTCATCTACCGGAGGCAGGGTAATTCTAGGCTGCTGCCGTCCACACGGAGTGAAGTAATCAAATAGCACGAGACTTCTTATCATGGTAATCTTATTCATGGTAAAAGCTTTTGGTGCAGAAATACAAGAGATGCTTCTATACTGTGAAGACAGCCCACGTTTCAGTGTGCACCCTCATGAAGCCATCCAACACCCTGTGTCACCTTCAACCTTCTCCTGGTGTCAAATTATGGCTGCTGACAAATACTTCTGGCAAGGAGATACTCCACGGAGCAGGGATTTCCCCATAACTGGACAGCTAAGGGAGCACAGTGGATGGCCTGTACAGGAAGTCATTTTTGATTCAAATTCAATCATCATAACTGAAATAGATCAGCAGTAATCAGCACAGCAGGGTGATGCGAGCTAAATCAATATAGCAATATGAATACGATTTTTTTTTTCCCCTTTCTAAATGACAGATCGCTCTTACAATATGAAAATTGTATGTAAAGATCCTGGTAAATAACCAAAGGTCAGTTCGGTTTACTGGCCCCTTCTCTATCATTCAAATTAAAAACCAGCTAAACTAAACAGGCAAACCCCTCCTCTAGTTTCAGTGCCAACAAAAAGCTACTCTGACCGATCCGATGGCAATTTGAGTGACTGTTCAAGCGTTCAACTGGAAAGTAATTATCAGACCACTGACTAATTAAAAAACAGAAAAATCAATCAACTCTTTTCCATGGTATATAATATCAATAAACTCTTTACACTGATAGACACAATCCATGGCTCCTATTCATGCTGGATACTGTACAGCTGTCTTCTGGTTAATTCTATCCAGGTTTTTATAACCTATTATAACTCGGACACCAACCCTTGCAGGGACTGGATTAACAGGAAAAAATAGGAAAACCGGGGGGAGCCGCTACAGCTCACCTGGTCGAGCAGGTGGCCCAGTCCTTGTTGCAGCTTCCTAGCCAGTTTTCTGACCATAATTCCTCCTCACTTTCCTGTCTACTCTACATCTATATGTGTATCAGATTACTAGATAATAACCAAATTCAAGTTTTAGACTATCAGATGTTACATTTTATCTTAACATGTTTCTGTAGTTGATAATAAGCATTCTGTGGTATGGAGATAACTCAGAAAACTTTGATAGATGCATTATGCTCACAACTGCCTTAGCAAAACACTTCCTAGTGTACGCAACATTAGATTTCACTGCTAAAATAACCCTTTGACATTGTGGAAAATTTTATTTTTAGCTTGCTAGCTGCATTTTGTTACCATTTCAGTCCTCGTTTGCATATTGTGGTGCCGCCCGTTTCCACTCCAGTGGCTACAGTTTTCTGCACAGGACGCTTGAGCTCCATCACTATACATTTGAAGAATTTACACTGAAAAAGTGATTTCCAGTCATTTAGGCAGGTTCATTGGTTGTTAGCTGCATCTTCAGCAATTAAAAAAATGCATGTATTTGCTGTATTTCTATTATAAACTCTAAATTGAGTATCTTTGGGAATTTTTACAGCTGCTCTGATAATAGGAAAGGTGGACAATGTAACAATCACCAGTTTTTGTACATAATTTAAAAAGATTTATTAAGTTGAAATGAAATAATGATTATTCTGAGTTATTGTCATCGACTGTTATTGCCAAGATAACATACTAAAGAATAACTACAGCTGTAACATATGACCACCAGCTCAACAAATCACCTCGACTGAGTCAGTCCACTTCTTACCAATGATTACTTTGCTGTAGTCAAACCATGAACGTATGATGTACAACAGCAGGAAAGGTTGGGTAGAGGAGAACAGTTTCTGTGCAGCTCCAGTAAAGAGGAGTGGCTCTGAGCATGACCTAACAGGCTGGCTGGACAACATTCCTACAGTACAAGCCCTGGGTTTGCCTTCCTCCCAAACAGTGACATAAAACACAGCTCCAACTGTCTTCCATTCATTGACTACACCACCAGTAATTTAAAAAAAAGGAACAAGGAATCCTGAGAGGTGATGAAACCACTACAAGTACAACCTTGTCAAAACTTGTAAAGATCTCATATAAGATTTGAATCTACAGCTAAAAGAAAGACATTGTGCAGACAAGATGATGAACACTATGAGAGGTATGTTGCAGTCGGATAAGGTGGAGAAGAAACGAATGCACTGTTGATGCTGTGTGGTATCTTCCATCAAGGCTCTAGGTCCACAACAGCCTTTCATTATTCATGCATGTCTATTTATGCTCATTTAAATGACTTGCTATCCTTTCTTCCTCACTGTGCCTCTTTTCCTGAAAGTTAACTCATCAAGCCCCTCTATTGGAAAAAGTTATGTATATCTGTGGAATAAGTAGGTGTTCCTCAAGGGCACAGCAAGGTTACTCTCCATGTGGAAGATTTGTAATATGTTAGTCATCGTTTATAATCCAATATAGTGAAATATTACCACTGAAAGACATTAAGGTTAACAGCAATGTTCACAATAGACAAACTAGAGGATTTATTTTAACCAGATACATCCTGTGCCACAAGGATCAGAGCACAAATATGACAAATCCAAAAGTTGCCAATTGTCTGGTGTAGAAAGAATGATTTTCAAAGGATTAACCAGCCTTGGGTTACGTATGACAAAAACAAGAACTCAAACTGAGCGCGCACTTTTTGCCGCCACAAATAAACCACCTAAAGAGCCGTAGAGCAGCCTCTCTGTGCTTCACCGCAGTTGTTGCAGCTCCTTCGCTGATAAGCTTGCTTCATGACAGCACACAGGAAGCTCAATACCTCAGCCAGACTCAAAGTGCCGCATGACGCTGATGACTCAAAACCCTACTACACTGATGAGGGTACGTCACCAGTTTAGAAACAATGCCGTGTCTCCCTCTCCTCCCTTTGTTAGCTGAGGTCAGTAAATCCATGGAGCTTCCTGCTCCAAAAATCACAGAAAGTTCAGTTTGGGATCCAGCAGCTGCCGCCCCACAGCCAGGTCAAAATATTGGAAAGAAAAACACATCTTTTAAACATTAGGTACAGTGACAAGAGCACATCTACAATAAGCTGCCCTCTCAACTCCTAGTTTAAAAAAAATAGTCTGGTGGAAAGAGCCCAAAATCATTTTAAACAGACCAAAAAAAGAAAAGAAAAATCCAATAAAGCTTCGTGTATTATAACCATTACTCCTGGAAGCCAGTATAGTCAGCATGGGTTAATTATTCACCTGCATACATAGTGAGAAAATTCAAATTCTAGTCTTACTGAGAATCTCAAGAAGATGAACTTTGTCAGACATCAATTTCTCGTTTAAGCAAACTCACCACTAAAGATCCCAGCTTGCATCAGGTTTGCAGATTAACAAAATTATAGTTCATGGGACGAAAAACCTGCTTTGTTCCTAAAATAAAATATAACAAAGCAAGAAAGTAAAATAAACCGCGAATAATTTATTCTGATGCCAATCGTGGAGATATCCCCACACATATTTTTTTTTTAATTTAACCTTTATTTTTACAGGTAGCCCTATTGAGACTCAGTGACTCATTTACAAGAGAGACCTGTTCGATCTTTAAGAGAAACGCCGTGCAGTGTTTTAAATTCAGGCATCAGGAGTGGCTTTACATGGCAGCTAGCTTGCGATAAGATTCATAAACAAGACATAGTTACTGCACTCTCTTGTGTAGTGTGTGCCGTCTGTCAGCACTGGCAGCTCCCGAAAGATCAGAGCATAAAAGAAACCTGCTATTATCTCTCCACATCATTTTTTTTAATGGGACTGGGAATAAAGCACGATTCAAACAAACACAGGGTGATAGTAGATTTAGCTCGAAATAGCAAGTAGCCATAGTTTACGTTACACATGAACTATTTTGTCATTAAATCTAGCAATCACCTTGGTTTTAAACTGATATATTATCATGTTGAAAAACGCCTAAAGCGAGTTTATCAAACTATAAAAGTAGAGGGTAAGTTTCGTGGTTTTCGCCACAGTAAATAGGTCGCAAACAGTCGTCGTGCAGCTGGCTGAGAGGGGCGCTGCAGCTCGTTTAGCCTCTGAACTACAGCTAGCAAGCTAACCATTAGCCCGAACAATCAAACACACAAACTCAACGCGAGTTACTAGAAAAGGCCAGCCCTGGTAATGCCGCTAATATGTTGTCGTGTACAGAAAAAAATGCAGCTTTTTTTACCTGTAATTCGGCTCGTTCCACTTCCCATTGTGCCCTTTCTACTTCGAAACGGGCCCATTCGTGCTGCAGGAAGTGCAAGATCCCCGGGATACTGTACTGCGCCCTAGCCGCCTCCCCAGCGTCGCCATCGGGCAGAGGTCCTTTTCCACCGCCGGGTAAAATGGAGTTGTTATTATTGTTGAAGAACACGCCGGGCCCCGCCTGTTCATCCATGGCCGGGCTCGGTGGAAAGCTTGGTCCGTTGTCTCGCTGACTCGATGTGCTATATATCAGCGGAAGGGTAAAAATCTATTGACGGCGTTCCGTCTCCTCGGCTCGGGGGAATGAACTCACTTTCTGACAGCTAGCTGTCATCCAATGACGTCACCACAAACTCCACGCCTACAGCGAGTTGGCTGGTGGTGCTCGTTTTGCTCACCCGAATTGCCCGGACGTCCAGACCCAGTAGCAGAACTTTAGCTATAAAAAATCATGCATTCCTATTTTATTAATCCAATTACATTTAAGTATAGTGAAAACCTCCAACAGCAATGAGGTCAAAATAAGTTTATTCATATTTTGGAAAAAAAAATGAGTGTAACATTACATTCACACAAATGTGCCAGTTATTGATGACATTGGTGAACACCAGCACATGCAGGCAGTAAACACGGGTATTTATCAGACCAAAAAAAAAAAAAATCTATGTGATGACCAGTACTTATATATACATATATATATATTTATTTATTTGTTGATTGGTGTGCAGATAACTGGAGAGTCTTAGTGAAAAATATAATGCATTTATCATTTAGTTCTAATTTTAGTCTCGATACTGGTTTGATCAACTTTAATTTATTAGCTATGCCTTTGAGCAATTAGTAGGAAGGTTTACAACATAATTTGAGAAAATACACAAAACATAAGAAATTAAAGTAACATTCATCAGTAACAACCTGGAGACCCCAAGGCCTCCTAAAAAATAAAATAAAATAAAATAAAATCAGGGAAAATTGTAGAGCAAATATTGACTTTTTCTGGAATTTTATTTCTGCCACCTGATTTATTTATTTATTTTTTGCCCTCTGTAAGTCAAAAGTCATGGTTTTTACCTGAAAACATACTTCGTAAGTAAGTTTTGAGATGATTTTTTCAAATTTCAATTTAGCTCTGCCTGAAAAAAAAGTGTCAGAAACAAACTTCCATAGGGAGCTGGGTTTGGTGACTTGGGGGGAACAAAAAAAAAAAAGAAAGTAAAATGTAAATTGTGTGGTCTGGAAATGATACATTCACACAATTAAAATTTGCTACAAAATTTATAGCAAGCTTTTTAAAGTGAACATTCAAAGGCTTTCAAAGATATTTACATAAACGTTCTTTGAGGGGAGTACTTGTCCATCAAAACAAAGAAGAGATGTAGAATAAATAAATGCAGTTAGAAAGCATAACTGATACAGACATGACATGTGGTACAGTGTTGAAAGAAATCCAAAGAAGAAAAGATTAGTTGAGAGTGTGCGGTGCATTTTGGAGTGTTCAGAAGAAGCTCGTCTTGAGTTTAATGGTTGGTGCAGCTTGCACTGCTGGCTGAGCTTGCCTGGCTGCAGCTTTGGCTTTGCTGCTGGCTTGGTTGGCCCGTATAGCAGATTCCAGACGGGTTTTCAGCTCAGGTGCCGCTCCAATCACTATCTTGAAGGCAGCCGGATAGAGGGGGCCGATCCGCATCAAGTTCTGAAGTGCAAACTCGTGCAGGCCTTTGGAGACTTGGGGTGCAGAGGAGATGGAATTTTCATCCAAAAGGTAAGAGACGAGAGTCGGTACAAGGAGAGCGAGCAGCTGCACCCCTGTTGAACACATAAAGCAGTGATAAGTTAAAAAAATATATATATATAATCAGTAATTAGGAGACAGTTTAAAAAAAGGAGAAGCAGAACTGTGGCCACAAATCCAATGTAATGTCATTATCTACGCAGAGATTTGCCAGATTATTAGTAAACTGAAATAAAATCGTTTTAAAAAAGTTTTTTCTTGAATGGTTGGACTAGAAATTAGAAAAGCATTAAATTCAACATTTAATTATTTATTAGTCTGATCTAGGGCAGCACAGCTAAATACTGAAGAGATCTACTTTAACAGAGTAAATGTGGCACAAAATGAACCAAATGTTGCTTCACTTGGTCCATTAAGCAGAGGAATACTTACGGTTTTGCTCTTCACCCATGCCGACCAGATTCTCTAGGACCCTGATTCCCTCCTGCACAGCCTGCAGCTCAGCAGCCGTCCCTGGGCGGCTGCGCTCCACTGCCTTCAGCTTCTCCACCATGAGTGGAGCCAGAGCGTGTATGTAGGGAGTAGAGAGGGCACGGCTGGAGTGTTGAAACACCGACAACAGCAGCTGGTAACACCGAGCCTGAACCTGTGGTAACAACAATTACATCTTTCGCTTAACTGAGCTAGACTTATGTGAACAGTGTGAAGCTGTTTTCACGCATGAACTCTGAACAATGGGAGAAGGATCCAGCCCAGGCGTTGTTCAGAGATGCCCTTTTTCACACGTGGAAATGCTACGTTTGGGTTTGGTAACAGAAGAGAGGTGCGTACAGTGCACAGCAGACCACAGCCACCGTCTAGCTGGCAAGTAAAAACCTAGTACTGATTCAGAAATTTGGGTTTTCTGCACTTCCGTTAGATAATATCTAGAAAAGTTCAGAGGTACACATGTAAAAACAGATGATTTGGTTCGGTATTCAAAATTCTTTTGTTACATCTTTGTTTGTGTACATGCGAGCTTACCCAGGGGTCACTAGAGTTGAGGGCATTTCGGAAGTGGTCCATGCAGCCCTTTTGCAGGACAGTCACTCCTACAAGCTCACTGCTGGCTGACAGCAGGAAGAGTGTGATCGCTGTCAGCATACTGACCTCATCCATGTCAGGCCTGGACTCATCTAAAAAAAACCACACAAACATGCTTTTGATTAACAGTGATGTTGTGCTTTTTTTTTTTGTAGACTGCTCCACAGAAAGACAAAAAGTCAGAGTCTGATAATGAATGCGTGTGGATGAGCTCACCTGGCTGCGAATACTCAAGTACAGATGCCAGGCTGCTCCTCACAAGGCTGGTCCACTGCGTCTGCACGCTCTCCAGCCGGGCTATTGGGGAGGTGAAGATGGTCTTAATGCTCTGGAGGGCAGCTGCCACAGGCACTGGCACCGAGTTGTCAGGAGTCTTTACTGCAGTTTCCTTCAGAACTCCGGTGATGAGGAAAAGCACTGTAGGTAGGATGGTCATGCTTCCTAATAAGGCAAAAATAAAATGTAAACAATGGGCTGAAAACCATGACGCTCATGTTCCTTTGCTACTTATCATTAATTAATGTCACAGAAATGCATGAAGCATCCATTAAGAGAGAGTATGTTACACTGAAATAGCAACTGACTGTGTGCGAGTTTTCCTTTCTTATTATGCATGGTATTTGTGTGTTGTTGCACTTTGCTTCAGGCCTCACCAGCTGGAGAGCATAGCGAGGGCAGCTCTGCCAGGATGGAAACTGCGTTTGCCACCAGGCGGGCACTTTCTTCGGGTAGTCGCTGAGGCCTGAGTGGCACATGGCTGGGCGACTCCTTCACACGTGTATTAAGCTGGGGTAAGTGGCGGACCAGGATGAACACGAGCAGCTCCATGGCGGCGAACACCAGAGACTTGCCGGGGACGAGCTCCCCTGTGTCTCCTCCTTCTCCAAGGCTGGCCTGAGAGTCTTTCTCGCCATCTTCCTCTTTGCCTAAACCAAAAAAAAGTAATGACCGTTTAAACTACCACACAATTTGGTTAACTTCACTCTAAATATAGAAGCTTAAAGACAACATGCAAACCTTATATGCAGTGTAACATAATGTTTCAGACCTTTTGCTGTTTTCTGTCGCTGTAGATGGTCATGTGCAGCCCTGATGGTCTCCTGGACAACAGCAGTGACCTGAAGCTGGACAGCAGGTGGATCCCGGGTCAACAGAAGCCTGTGAAGCACGTTCAGGAGCTCCACAGCCAGCAGCTACAGCAGAAAGAAAAAGTAAACAACTACATTAATGTGACTGTGAAACATGTAGCACAAACTTCTCATTTCTCTCACATTTAGAATTCCAACTGTTTCAATTATGTATTTTTTTTCTCATTTAAAGTAAAGTGCTTGATGCTTTGTAACTATCTGTTCTGGTTTGTTGAAAAGCAGAAAGCATGTCCACCATAGGATAAAATGTCATATTTAAAAATATGATTTTTATACTGTTCAGAAGCAATTTGTACTTCTTTGTTCAAATATCTTTATGGTTAGTGAGACGGCTGAGTGATCCCACACACTGTGCTCCAATTCAAATCCTCTGAAGTCCACACTTTGAAGCAGTCTGGTAGAGACACGTCCCTCTTCAAAGGCTTCACCAAATACAGCTGAGAAATACAACCTTCTTTTGCTGAATTTGTAGGATACACACGTGTGCCCTTTGAAGCCATCGGTACCCAATCATCTGTTCTGTGGGGGATCCTTTTCACCTTCTAAAGTCAGTAAATATCACAGGCCGGTGTTGTATTTATCAAATATTTGCAGTGAGGTGGTGCATGGTAAACAGATCACCTGAATTACACCACAATATGATTGCTGCAAGAGGTGATTTAAAGGGAAAACACTTTTTCTTATAGGACACTTGGGTGCTTGAATTTCTTTTAGTATTTTCTAATAAGTGAAAACTACATTAGTTCTTTTATAGGTTAATGTGTAACTCATATATTCATATTTTACTAATGAGATTCTACAATAGTCATAAAAGTGGTTTAAAAATTTTCTCTCTTTTTTTACCCTATAATTTAAGCCCTGTGTGTTTACCTGGTCATCTGCAATATGTGTTTTAGCACAAGGAGTCTCGAGCAGAGTGCACAGGGCCCGCAGGCACGACATCACATGTTCAATAGGCTCTTCAGGGCGGGGAAAGCAGAGAAACTCTATACTGACACCTAAGAGAAAGAACACAAAAATGCTCTTAGTCTATGTTCTTGTACATGTATTTTCCTTTCTACTACCATTCCTTCACAATTGGCCGGTGGTCCTACAGCTGTGAGGTGAACAAAAGCAGTTGCTGTTTTCTGTATTAGGTACACTATGAAGCCAGAAAATGGAAAAGTATGGTAAATGCTTTACATTTACGCAAATGTTAGCTATGCATTCGTTTACCTAACATTAGATGCATCCTGTCTTTGACAGACTCCTCAAAGGTCTTTATAGTGGAGGAGCCTCCCTGGGGGAGGCCAGGAGGCTTGGAGGGAGCTGATGAGACCTCCTCCTGACCTACACCTGCTCCAAACCCAGTGCTGTTCAGCCACAGGGCTACAGCATGCAGGACAGGA